GTASAAAATGAAATGAAGTTGATAAGGTTAAAATGATCCGAGAAACTTTCCGTTCTCTTTTCGCTCTGCAAAATGAAAAAAGAGAAAGTTGTCGAGTAAGGCCTTTTCATTCCAAATTCAATAGCTAGACATGGTTTATGGATGGTGGAAGTAGATTTCATAACTCGTCGATGACATCTCAAATTGCTCAGAAAATTGCTTGAAAGCCACAACGCCTTTTATATGGCAAGTATCTCTGTGGTTAATTCAATTTGTTGGAATTTTGCATGGCAGGAGTCGAAAACGTGACAGATTCTTGATTATTCGAACAAAAAAAAAGGAGATTCGGAGACTTGTCGTCGACCATGGCTTCATCATCATCCGATCCCTATGGGAAAAAAATGCGATCAAAAAGGAGTTTGATGGACTTGATCATTCCACTTTTGGCGATCGGAGGTCTGTACTGGTTTGCTGCCTCTTTTTTCCTCGCGAAACGAAGTCTTCCCTATTCGTCGAAATGCGACGAAGCTAGGACAATACTGCGGGAAGTGCTCTCGCTTTCCCCGGAAGAGATCGATCTTGCCATCGGACCCATAGACACCAGTGACAATCGCAACGGTTGCTGGCTCCCCCGCAAGATTGATTCGCTCGTCATACTGGTCGTGGATGCTCTGAGATTCGATTTTGCACGAGATCACCTCCCGATGTCGGTGGGAGCAAGACTATCGGCGCAAAAGAACAACCGGACCACGGCGTCACAACTTTTACAATTCGTCGCCGATCCACCTACCGTGACTATGCAACGATTGAAGGGGCTTACGACGGGTAGTTTACCTACGTTTGCAGATATCAGTGGAAACATGGTAAGTTGGACTCTGCATAAACATGTGTTCTTCAATTGGATTTATAGACACTGACAAAGAATCATACTATCAACTTGTCGTCTTCAAACTGAATTTATAGGGGGGSGCATCGATTGAAGAAGATTCATGGGTGGAACAGCTGAAAACGACACCACATTCAAAACGAGGCTTGAAATTTCCATCGAGACTTGGCTTCGTAGGCGATGACACCTGGGTGGATTTATATCCGAGGCAATTCGATGAATCATATCCACTGCCGTCTTTYAACACCCGAGACTTGGATACTGTAGATAATGGATGTCTGGAGCGATTGCCAATGCTTTTGAGAGACTTGCGAATGGATGGGTCCAGTTCCGAAGAATTGGAGGTAATCGTTTCCCACTTTTTAGGAGTCGACCAYGTTGGTCATACTTACGGACCCAATAACCATCACATGATTGAGAAACTCGATCAGATGGACCTTGCATTGAGTACGACTTTGGATGTGTTGGATACATCTGAGAAGTGTCATCTAGCACTGATATTTGGAGGTAAGTCCGGTGCTTMWTTTCCGCAGATCTTGTKGTCGCATCAAAGCTCCTGTCGTCCCAGCTTTGTGTCTTTGCTTGAAATGATCTCATCATTGTTTTTCGTTTAGATCACGGGATGACAGAGGACGGAAATCATGGGGGAGGAACAGAAAACGAAATCAACGCAGCGCTTTTTGTACATTTTTCTCCAGCATGCGGAGAAATGTCTCTCGATCTAACACCGAGTATGGGAACTCATTACATAGAAAATGCGTTCCAATCTATCCACCAAATGGATCTAGTTCCAACGATATCTATTTTGTTGGGTTTGCCCATTCCTTATGCAAGTTTAGGCGGTGTTGTCCCGTCTCTCATAGGATCCAAGCAAGTGRRCGAGACGGCTGCTGCKTTGGCACTAAATGCTGCCCAGGTTTGGAGATATTTCACTGTCTATTCAGAACAAGCCAACAAACTMCCTAATTTGCCAGAGTTACAAAGTCATCTCGAAGAAGCCATTGATGCATACAAGGAAGCTCTTTCTCAACAAAAAGATAAAGCTAGTGATTCAAATGCTTTCTACAAGACCTGCGGACTTTTTAAAACATTCCTTGCGGAAGCTATGGAACTCGGGCACGCTGTATGGACGCGCTTCGATACAGTTGGTATGATAATTGGCGGATCTATTCTCTTCTTCGTACTTTTCATCAGCCTTGGATCTTTGTTATTTTCCAGTGGAAACTTCCGATTGCMGCGATGCCAATATATAGAGAATGGGCTAAGTGTCATCTTCATATGCTTCCAATGTGGTGCCTTGTCTTTCAGCAACAGTTATATAGAAGCGGAACAAAGAATAGTGATGTTCATGTTGCAGATTCTTGRTCTCACAATCTATATTCGAATGCAAGGTGTCAAAGCGGGAGGCAATGCCAGAGTTGTCCCATATATTCCACTGCTGATCCCTCTATTATCGAGAGTGGCCGAATTAATCGTCACAGGACACGGTTTGGATCCTTCTATTCGGATGCATATCGCTCACAATCCAATCATGTTTTTATTTTCTCTTCTGGGTTTGGCGATATTACGGGTCTTATTCTTCCGCTCATTATCCAACAAGAACAACACCGCAGTTTTTCATRCAACGATTGATTGTGTTATCATATTATGCCTTTCACTGAGCTGGATGGCGAAACGTGATTTGGATCAAACAAAAAATGGATACCTTTCCATCAGAGTAGCGATTGGTATCTTGCTTGTATGCACACCRATTGCAATTGTGCAAGCTMTGCTCTTCAAAACAAATATGTATCGATCAGATGCAAAGGCTAACGATGAGCCGAAGGTCTTGAATCGCGATGGTATCCTTTCTCGAAMGCTCGCCGTTGTCTTTAAGCTTCTGCTTGCCATAATGGTTGTGACAGGGCCGTCAACGGCGACAACAGTTCTGTTSTTTTCCTTCCAAGGATGGATGATGTACATCATTGCCGGTGCTACAGGGTTTTATGAGGTATCAGCACCCATCCAAGCGACTCTATGGAGGTTTTTGATCCGACACACGTTCTTTGCTACCAACCACGGCTGCGCATTCAATCGTCTTCAGTACTCGGCTGCCTTTGTAGCTACAATGGAATTCGATTTTGCACTGGGTGGTCTYCAGCTCTTCCTCAATACGTTTGGATGGGAGGTAGTCGGCTTGATCCTTGTGTGGACTACATCCTATATGCACAGTAAAAGAAGTTTATGGTCTTGGTATTGCGTTTATCAGTTGTTTGAGAGCTCTTGCAACTGCATATCCGTCAGTCTGCTGCGACGGCATCTTATGGTTTGGGCGGTGTATGCTCCTCGTTTTCTCTTTGCTTCRATTTTCTTGATTCTGAATTGTGCTGGTCAACTGACGATCCATCTCCTCCCTGGCTTGAAGCTCATTCAATAGCTTCTAGACAGTTTTATCTCGGACTTTGTTTCTGCGGCAGAAGGTCATTCATAGTTGTGCACTACGAAGTAGAAACTAAAGAAGAGCACCTCRAWTATATCTATACCGTGGAATGTGACATGCTGCATGCAAAAAGATCTGAGAAAGTGACTAGTAAATAATACAAAAACTGTTTGCCTAGTAAGAGTAAGAGTAACCTCATCTGTCGTAAATACCTATAACCCTCGTGAAACGAATAGAAATAGAAAACACTAGTTCTTACGGTAAGGTACGGTAAAGTATGGTACTGCACATAGATGATCATATGGAACATATTTACATACCATACGAGGTCGTTATATGACTTTAGACGTGGTACTGTATGCGAAAACCACCGCTTGTCTGCTCGCCACCAATTCATTTTGGAAAATCCGTAACACATTTTTCCTTCGTTTGAAGCACTATTGTATTTCCTTCTGCAGGACGGTAAAACTCCATTACTKCGAGGCTAAACCTTCCGGTGCAACAACTCCTATCGGTACTGTACCGACGCACTGCGTTTTCTTTCTTTCGGATCAGTCACAACATAGACAGTAGCGGGACTTACGAAAACCCTCACTTAGAATTGAAAAATGGGAAAGTCAAAAAAGCCGTTCATTGATAAGAAGAAGTCCTCCACTTACCACGTCCTTTACAGGTCCCAGCGCGATGTTGCGGATGCGGACAATGAAGAAGGCGATGGCGAAGGTGGCAAGGTGGTTTTGTGGCCTTCTCCAAACAACAATAAGGAAACGGACCAGAAAGTTCTGCTWGGGAACGAAGCAGGCCAGGGTCCTGGTTCCGATGCAGAGCAATTTCAAGATCGCACTTTGTCTAGTTGGAAAGACAAGCTAGCCGAAGTCGGATTGGTGGACGATTTTGATTACGAAAAGCACACGAAACCAATCACCGGCGGTGGACAATATTTCAYTAACAATGCGATGAATGCTAGCAAGAAAGAAATTGGCGCCATGCTTGACGCTCGTTCGATGGATGTGAGGGACGAAATCGTTCAAGAGGTCGACAGACAGCTGGACTCGATTGCTCTAACTTCGGATTGCATGGACGATGAAATCGCCCAAATGYTGTTTGGTGATTTCGAAGAGGGTGCATTCGAAGARCTAAACGACGAATTCGTTCTGGATGCAGCCAAAGAACCAGAGCCGGGCSAGGATGACGAGGAAKCCTTCGACTATGCATCSCACATTCAGGGCCTCATCGCGAAGGCCAAGATGCAAAACGAGGGCCTSGGGGAAATGGCTACGATCCACGAAGYAGGWAGAAAAGACCAAGAATTCTTTGCGAACGCCAAGCGAGTCGACAAGGGATACAACGATAGTGACGACGACTCTGGATATTTCGATGAACACGATCTAGAAATTGTGGGTGTCCCCGGTGTCGTACCCAAATTGACGGAGGCAGAGGAACAAGCACTCTGTGACAAATTCAACATGGCTCTGGCCGAATACGATTCGGACGACATGGGAGAAGGTTATGACGACGATGACGTGATTGGAGATCTTCCRCTAGAGGGTGACGCTCAAATCGAAGCTGCACTTGATGATTTCTTGACGGAAAAGAAAGACGAAATTTTTATGCAAGGAACTCGGCATTACATGGACGGAAACAAAAATGGTGGAAGCGGATTTGCGGCGTTGGTTGGAACAAAGATGGTGCCGGCAAAGGAAATCGTTGAATCAGAAACRAACAACAGGGACATCAAACCAATCAGTGATGTTCTGGGCGAGGCCRACGATACCCTAAGAGCTCCAAACGCAGCCCCACCAACCGAAGAAATTTTTATCGATGGAAAGTCTTACTTTTCWGAGAGAATGAAAAACCCTTGGGATTGCGAAAGTATACTTTCTACGTAYTCTAATCTAGACAACAATCCGATGACGATCGGCTCCAGCAGTCGAAGAAGRCGGCGAAAACCCAAGAAAGGCCGTGGTGGTATGGATGGCAACGGGTCTACTGTTCCTATTGAAGAACACAAGACAATTCAGCTGTCGGAAAAGACTGGATTACCATTGGGTRTCCTACCAAGTGGTCGCGCTGTCGATTATGGCGATGAGAGTTATTTCGATGGAGCMGATACCTATATGAGCGTCAACAAGGGAGAAAAGCGGTCCAAGAATGAGACAGCAGAAGAAAAGAAATTAAGAAAACTGACTGTGAAAAAGGAACGCCAGTTAGCGCGAATGCAAAAGAAGATGCTGAAGGAGGCATTCAATGACGAGTTTACGAAGAGACAGCAAGAAGTTATGTGCGACGATGTTGGAGGAAAAAGCGTCTTCAGATTCTAAACATAGTAAGGCAGCACTTTCCATGCTCGTTCGAGCTTTTGATTCWACTGTAGTGATAYAAAATTTCACCATGCGAAAATTGAATGGAATTRACGAATGGACATCGGCATTGTTGAGAGGCCTGAACGAAGTAGAGTACCACACTATTTCAACYATGGATAACACGGAATSACGGGAAAACGCAAAAKAGCTCGACTATCTTTACTGTAAACGTTCTATCACAATTGCGGAAGCACCGCCACCTCCGTTGCATATAGAAGCACACCCGATGTTTCCRTCTTTGTGCTTCAGGACATTGTAAAGCGTTCCTATGATTCTTGCTCCAGACATACCGATCGGGTGGCCTAATGATACAGCACCTCCAAATACATTGACCTTTGATTGATCTAGGTTCAACAATTGCATGTTTGCCAATGCAACAACGCTAAAGGCTTCGTTGATTTCGTGATAGTCCACGTCAGATGCCTCGACTCCGGCATTCTGTAAGGCCAYAGGAACTGCAAGGGAGGGCGTCGTTGTAAATTCAACGGGAGCTTGCGCTGCATCGCCAAAGCCCCTTATCTTTGCTATTGGGTTGATACCCTTATCTAGAGCATCCTGCTCGGTCATGAGAACCATAGCACATGCCCCATCATTGAGGCTACTRGCGTTGGCAGCAGTGATTGTTCCGTTGGTTCGATYGAAGGCTGGTTTCAAACTTGCGATCCGATCCAGTTTCATAGATCCTGGTTCTTCGTCCTCATTCACCACWAGTTGATTACCTCTGCGTTGTGGAATTTCAACTGGGATTACTTCTTCGAAAACTCCTTCCACCAAAGCTGCCTGCGCTCTCCTATACGATTCAATGGCATATTCGTCCTGATCTTCTCTAGAAAAAGCATAATCTTTGGCGCATTTCTCACCGCACATCCCCATGTGCTGGTCATTATAAATGTCCCATAGTCCATCATAGACGACTCCATCTACGAGTTCCGTGTTTCCTAATTTTGTACCACTTCGAGAAGCTTTCAAATAGTGAGGAATGTTAGACATGCTCTCAAAGCCTCCCGCCAAAATAGCTCCTCTCTGGCCACATTTCAAGGCCTGGCTTGCCATCATGACACTCTTCATCCCAGATGCGCAAACTTTGTTGATAGTTGTGCAGATAGTTGTTTCTGGGAGGCCGGCATACAATACCGCTTGTCGGGTGGGAGCCTGACCCATCCCTGCACTCACCTGCACTCAACGGGGGCAAAGACAAACGGAAGAGAGTTTAGTCGGTCGCTCTTCCTCCTTCGATCCCTCACTTTCGGCGTTTCCGACAACTCACCACATTRCCCATAATGCATTCTGAAACGAGCAAATCATCCGGAACCTTGGCCAACGCACCCCGGATCGCTGACTATAGAAATGAGAACGAAAGCGAGATTAATGGYGATGYTAATATCTGTTCTCCGGAGTGGGATATTATAGATTTTCGGTAGGACAAGGTGTTACACATGATTCGCAACACTCACCGATGCCAACTCTGATCCTCTCAACCCAGCGAAACTTCCCTACAAAGAAAAAGATTGTTAACATCGGGAAGCATGCAGAGATAAGAAATGCGTTAGTTCACGTAACAGGCAGTTATTATTGCATAAAATTCCCTGACATCCATCTCGCGCTTACACAGAATCTACCTATGGGAGTGCGAGCGATGCTTGCAATCACGACTGAATTTGACATATCTCGGTCTTTTGAKAGATGGTTTGCCAGATGTTATTGGCAAAGCTGTGTTACAAACTTGTGTCGTTGCGGAGCGACAATACCAGGTCGTCTCTCTTGACTGATTCATCGATTCATAGATGATTGGGTTGGTTTACATGTGAGTTCGTACGGTACGTACGAGGATTCGTATTTGTGATTTTCGATTTCATGCTTGATTTTGAAATTGAAATTCTGATTCCAACATTTTTGATCCACTCGATTAAAATCACAATTCTTATTGGAATCCTTCGATACAGTAAATCGTAAATCAGCACCGGTACGGTAGGAGGTACTCGTACTCGTACTTCGTAGAATAGTACCGTACCGTATCATACCGTACGTAGTAATCCGTACGTACGGTACTGTATTAATTAATGTAATGTATCTTTGAGCCTACATCACGAGTAGATAGTGAATAAGCTCACTCTTTATTGTAACCAATTACAGTAAAACTTTTGTCGCCGATTTTGAGTCGTGCACTGACAAAATTTTTGATCCAAATTTTGTTGTCCGAGTTTTGATGCCATCGTTCATCGCCATTATGACAACATTATCGATGGCACGAGGATACAGAGAAAAATCTCGAAGAAGAAACACCAAAGAGGGAAACTGCAATAGAGACGAGGGTCTTATCSGCGTAGTGTAAGGCGACAATCAAAACGGAAAGGGTAGTCAGGATGGTGCGTCACTTGTATACCGTCTTCAGTATTTTTGTAGGTATGTTGGCCGTATCGACGGCCCTTCCGCATACGGATCAGACAACCGGGGACGAGAAAGGATTCAATGGTTCAGCAGGTAGGAGAAACAGTTYGCGCCAGCTTCGGACCAGAATTCCAGACAAAAGAAGAGAAAGAAATGTAGTTCCGGACATAGTTGGGGTAAAARATGGATCCCTTSAGGAAGATTTACAACAGCTGAAGCGAGAGCATTCGGTTTCGTTTCCGAGTCGCCTGAGWGGAACAGAGAGCGCGGRTTCGCTCCAAARGACAACGCCCAACCAGAACGTGCTTCAAATCTGCAGGCGTGTGCATCTSAACTTTGCCAGAGCCGCGAATGGCCGAGACATGCACGGGGGCGATTTTGTAAGRGGGGAATGGTTTCACCGCTATGGGATCAACATTTACGCAGACGGGCACGACGGGASCAGCAACCTCCATCCCATGATTTTTGACTCCTCAAATTTGGAAAGTAAYGGACTGGTAGGAAACAAAGAAATCTTTGCTCTAGGCTCTCCCAACTTTGATTGCGGTGGATTTGGTATCGGACACGGAGGAAAAGAAGGTGCACCAGGGGAAAATTGTGAACCTCTCGGCAACGTTTTAATTCCGTCGCGAAAGGCCGGATCCGATAGTTTGACCTCAARCGAGAGATTAAAAGYCTCCAAACCATCACTTGGTGGCGTCCTTCACTTTAAGTTTTCAAAATTGACCAAGGTTGAGAACATAGGATTATTGAATATTTCTGGAGCGAACCAAATAATTGCTRTTCGAAATGATGGTGGGATGGAAAACAWCGATCTRGTCCCAGTGGGTCAAAATGGGTCTCAAAATGTTTCCCTCGATCTAGATCAAGTCAATGAGCTGTTTGTCATACTGCATTCATTTGGTGCAGTTTCRGGACTCGACTTATGCATAGTTTTCGACCAGTAGACGAAGASGTGACAAAMCAACATTARAATCTGATTACTTGGCATCATAATGTTAGAACCCCCAACGAARTTAGAAGATACAAGTATCAATCGCTACGTACGATAGAATTGTCATAATTGTACCGTAGAAAGCCCAGTCCTTTCGTACTCAAACATTTATGTTCTGAATTAAATTTATGAACCTACGCAATTCATGAAAATCGCTTGAAATCCCATGGTACCACGCTAAATTTATCGTCACCTTGGCATAATCATAGCACCTCGACAAACTCACAGAACCAAGTCACCTTCAGCAACATTCATTGAGYGGATGATGGACAAACCAGTATGCTCGAAGGCATGATTATTTCTGAATAAAAATTCAATCGTGACTTAGGAATACGAACGGAACAAATTCTATCCATCAAATAAAATGAGTCTTCAGAGGACAAACGACGTCAGTGTTGTTGAGACAATTTTCTTTCCCAGTGAAATATTTATGCAACAAAGCGTTCACTCATTGTTTTCGTCGTTTTCGGCTTCTTCCAGTAGAGAGCCAAATGTAGATTCTCCACTATATTGAATGTAAAGAAATCCATCCTCGTCCTTTTGCTCCTCGTACACCGTAGACATCAAAGCCGCGTTTGGAGGGATCGAATTAGAGCAAAAAAGGAAGAGGGCCTTTTCCGGCGCCAGTTTGATTCGCTTCCGGATGACGTAGTGAAACTGTCCCACGGTCAGATCCGCCGGAACTAAGTATTTCTTCTTATCAATGTCCGGAATGTCTGATCGGTCGGCCTTTTCGCATATTACGGGAACGCGGTCGGGGTATTTCGCACGGATGCGTTCGGCCTCCGATTTGCGTTTCTCTATTTTTGCGTGAATGCATCAAAKTGGTTAGGTGGTACAGTAACAATTAACGAGTGGGTAGGAAAGARCACAAAATCGAAGTGAGCCTTTTGTCTTGAACTTCGACGATCCAGTGATATAAAAGCGATCTAGTAGAGTGCTTCTCTTGACGGTGCAACCAAATATATCGTTATTATTCCGAGGGATGCAATTGTCGTGGTGAAAAGATTGGATCACTCGTGTCCGGTTTTAGACGCAACATGGAATCGTTGACACCTGGGGCCGTGTCGAGCGATGCATTTTCCAATGTCAATAGRTTTGAGTAACTCACCGAGTGAGTGTTCTTCTTTGAACGGCTTGCTCATGGTCGAATTGATTTAAATGTTKGTGTTGTATCACTAGAAATGTTATGAGAGACTAGAGCAAATGGAAGGTATCCAATCAAACCGAGGAAGGTTAAACGCGCCGAGAGATTTCAGTATCGTGACAATTCAAGTCGTACGTGAGATGCCATGATTCCGAGAAGAAGTTGATGCCTCGTTTCGATTTCGTCGAGGACGTTAGAATTCTCTGATTTTTGTTCTTTTTAGGCGTGGCCGACTAACTCGTACTTCTACTACCGACTACAAGGCTTTTTGCCACCGGTACGCGTGGTATCGTACGGTATGTCATGAGTTCTAAAAAATACTTCTTCTGTACGGTTCGTACGATACAAGACTGGTTCGAATTGGAATTGATTGGAATTGAATCGTGGTAGTCAAACGAACACCAGAGAACATTGTGGATTTGATATCTTTTCTCGTAAGTACAACTCGTACTTACTGTCGTACCGCTATGTCGTATGGCTAGATTCCCATGCCCCCAGCCAACGCAGAGAACAGGCTTCAACGAAAATAAAACGATCTTTCGTTCTCCACCAAATGATGGCGCATCGAATCCTGAAAATGGAGGCTTTCTTGTGCCTCYGCAAGACGGATAAAACAGAATCTGCRAGAGGGAAAAGTGAAAACCAATGCTTGATCGGAAATATTGCCCTGATTACAAGTGGAGAATAAGGCACCGGATGACATTCGAGAAGCCGAGTGATCGAGGATGGAAGACGATACGGATGCGGTCCCCACCAATCCGTACCTGGCACTGAGAGCGGCAAAAATTGCACGGAATCAAGCYCGGCTAAAAGAGCTCGGTCTCCACAARCCAGCTATATCGAAAACTGCTAATCGCRACAGGAAGYCKGGGCAACCCTCRAAACGGAAGAAACGCCCGGACATAAGTGGTGCATCGGTGGCGGAACCCAGGCGTCGATCCCGCCGAATCTCGGGATTGTCGAGCGTTCCCAACTATMTCGAAACCAAAGATTTCAAAGAACGGGGCTMTCCACATACCAGCACGAGGCAGACCAGAAAGGAACTCCCGTTAGATGAGACAAATGCCGATTCGGTGCTCTCTATRTCACCGCCGAGACCGTCGACGCCCTCTCGACAACAAACATCACCCGCACCTGCTGCTGCCAACTCGGTTCGTACTATTACGCTCGATGTCTCTGTCATGCTGCAAAAGTTTCTTGCAAAGCCAATGGAGACCTTTGGGAAATATTTTGTCATCGAGAGGAGTTTCGGTGAAGCCGCATGTCCCGTGGATCAAGATAGGTTGCAGGGAGTTCTTCGCCTTTCTTTCAACAAGTTCAGTGGGGTGCAACCCTGGAAGAACGTGACCTTTCTTTGGATCAACGTYGGAGGTCCCGCGGGAGCAAATGCACTGGTAAATGAATTCACCCACAAAGGAAGCCGTGTGACCTGGTTTGGAGGYAGCAGAATGACCGAAGACTCGCCGGTGATTCAGAACTTGATTCGTCTTGGAAAAGAAGCTGCGTCGACGCCGTCTTCGACGTCGTCTGGAATACTCCTGTGGTGTAGGCAATACGATTATGCAACACGAAAGCTYCGGCCGTATACTTGTTTGGGAAGACTAGCATACGAAAGTCACGTGCCGGGGTCGTACCCGGTTGCTTTTACGTGGAGATTGATTGACCACAAGTCGATGATGGAAAACAAAGAAACGCGCACGGTTTTTGGCGAAGTGTCTTGTTCGGACCTGTCCAACTAACTCTGATTTGGTGCTTCGATGAAGGAGACTCSATGTAGAAAAAAGTGACGCYATTTTCACTCCGAAGTAAAGAAATTGCGCAAATGCCCTCTATTCTCTTGCTATTTTGAAAGCAACAAGTRCAATATCAACGCAAAACAGATTTTGATTTTGATATGAAGCACAAAGTAACACGCTTTGGTTGAAAAGGTGTTGGCGTCCACCATGGATGCTATTCTTGCCTTGGAAATGAATCATCAAGAAGAACAATGAAATGTAYGCTGTCTTTCCTACCCACCACCTCCCTTGTTGCCTTGATCCAAAATTTAAATTTKCTGGCTAATGTCCCCGTCGAGCAATAAGGAATACCTGGGATGCAAAGGGAAGGACAGATTTTTGCCTCTTCTTTGGTTGTGATTCCGGGGGCACGCAGGTCTTGCTATTTGTTTTGTTCAGTTGGCGACCCAACAATGCAATCATATCATCATCCATATAATATTGTTTGTAACAATCATTTGTTTTGTACGACTTTTCTTCGTTGTGATCGCCAGGGTTCTAGTAGTACTAGAACCATTTGAATACCATAGCCCTAAGTTAGTAGTAGTACCTTTAGTACTATCACTACTGRTGTATACTTATTGAACATTAGTACAATTACTAGTAATAGCAAGTATAGTAGTAGTTGATGGTATTGGTACAAGCATTGCTCAATAATCAATCAAACTGAAGGTAACTCTGCTATTTTCTATGGCTTTGATTTGTTCTATTCGTATTTCCTACTGTAAGTGATAATTAGTAGAAGTACTTTGTAAAACCATTTAAGAACCATGACCTTTTCCTGTTGGCTATGGTACAGCACTGGACTACCACTATCTTTTGTGCATAAAAGCTAGAACCACCATCACTCCTTGCTGGTGGGARAAGGTTATGCAAAGAGTATCATGTCAACAAAATTGCATGCAATCATTGACTCATCAACAGCAAATGCACAAACTGTCCACCAATTACGATACCATCATGTAGCAATCAAGATTTGAGGGCACTCAAAGCAAGATCAGGGAAAACAAAGTTTGATGGAAAAAATATTGCTAAGTTTCAAGAATACAGCACTACTCTTTCAAGTGATGATCTGACAATGAACAAACTTGATTCAATGTTTAACATTTTAGCAAGAGCAGGACATGTTCCAGTTGAGAACTTGCTATTCTTAAATCACACATTAGTATGGTCTAAATCACAGATGAAGTCAAAGTTCCAGGTTCTTTAATGGAAATTGAGCTGATGCAGGAATACATTGAGGAGATGAAARTGTAAAAATTCAATTTAAATCAGAACAGTACTACAAGAGATCATCTTTCCTGGTTACAGCTTTGCATAATTTGCACAAACAGAATCATGTGAAAACATGTTTCAAAAACYAAAGGAAAGAGTGCAGAATGAAAATTCCAAACAAAGGTTGCATGTACTATTTGACAATAGTAAATGTTCTGATTGGTATGACTGGTGGAAGGGCAACTGAAACACAAACAACTTATTTGCACATGAACATGAGAGGAAACATGAAGACTGCATGGCRGTTAATATACAATGAAGAAATTGCAAGTTCAGTTTTTCAACTCAATTCAAACACTGTTGCAAATTGTTCTGGTGGTTTAACTACTATGTATATGACCTGTTACATTTAAAAGTCAAACAACAAAGAAGATACTGAAGTTGTATGCTAGTGCAGGAGGGAAACATTTTTTCAACAAACTTCAACAAGTCTACTACAACAGTAAGAAAGAAACTGCAATTTGCAAACAGCAAGGAGTTCAGACTTTGATGGGAGCTGTCACTTTACTAAGCACAAAGTCAGACATTGTTTCTGGTCCTATGGCAAGCTATCTCCTTCAAAATAATTAGTCTCAATCCCACTTTTCTCATCATGAATTTGAATTTGTAGGTCTTGAGTGTTTAGAGAGAGAGAGACAACTAAAGAATTTATTTTGGATTCAAATAGTTCAAAACAAATGCATTGCATTTTTTAAATCTCGTGTTATAAATTATTTGTGCAGGCAAATGAAACTTGAAGATGTTCCTGTTTATGATTTTTCTCTAGCTTCACCACGACAAAGGGAACTGCAACAAATCAAAGAAGAAAAAAGAAACAATGGATTGGTCACCTCATCCACACCCTGCAAAAAAATTTGAAAATGTCCAAATGTGAGAAACCAGCAATTCTGTTGGTTCATTTTTTAAAGTTTCCAAACAGTGAAAGCTTTGGAGGCATACCCATTGATGTTGACATCCATCATCTAAAAGATACTGATCACTGCTTGTTGGCAATGGAAAAATATGCTAAAACAGCAATGACTCTGTTTTTCCATTTAGGAATGATTCAAAAGAACCCCAGACAGATTCAAAATATTTACCAAAATTTAGGGAAATTCTAAAAAGTGGGAAATTGAAACTGAGTCATCAAAAACTGCTGAAAAATGCCCAAGATTGCTACAATACTAGCTTTAATTCAGGAAGAACAAAAGACTAGCTTTAATTCAGGAAGAACAAAAGATGCTCTAGAAGAAGTTACATAAACACCTTTGAAAGGAGAAAACTGCTGCTGTTAAACTACTACTACTGGTAAAGGAAAAATTTGTTAAAAAGAATATGAATATAACATTTGATCAACAAGGTCACAAGTCATCACACTATTTGTATGGCAACCTATAAATTGTCTTGGCTAGCAGGTGACTTTAATCAACCCAAACCAGTAGGAGGAGAATCCCTATCATAAAAAAAATCTATCTTTGGAGAGAACAAAGAACCAACACATTTCTTGAAATCAAAACAAACCACAGGTTTCAACAAGATGATCCAGTCTGCAGAGAGCTTCTTAATGATTTAAGAGYAAATGACTTGAAAGAAGAGCATGATGATAAAATCATAAATTCAAGAATTGTAAACCTAGGAACAAAATCTCAGAACATATTGCTTATGCAACATACAGTACTAGTACTAATGCAGACAAATATGCAGTAATAATGGTATATTTTCTGAGTTTCTCCAAACAAGAACATACTTAAAAAAACAAGAGATTACCAGAGGACCACACAATTGTAATCAAGGCCTCAAACTCAATACTGCAGATAGAGAAACAAATAAAATACAGAGGAGACATACCAGAATTTCAGAGAAACTGCTTGTGAGCTGCCACATCAGATGCTGACATTGTTGCAGATACAAACAAATCTTCCAAAAGGAAAGATCCAATGCTTTAATTGTATGTTGGTAGACCTGCCATGATCAATGACAACATAGATGTTGAAAAGTCAAAAACAAACGAAACCATGTTGTGTACATTAAAATCTGTCAAAGTGAAATATGGGCACCAGGAGGATTGTGAAATTATCAACATTGATGGATTGTATGTTTGATGCTGTGTAGATGCTGAGAARGTTGAATGGATGGAAGTAGTTTTTGAAGGAGACTGAAAACAAGTGATCACTTGAACTCCTCAAAATACTGCAACAACAGCAAAATTCAAGAAGAATACTTGTTGTTTGAAGCAAGACTTACCAATCAAACCCAAACAAGTCACAACAAGGGAATACATTCAACTCAATTTGCAATCAATATTGCAGCTAATGCACCAAGAGTTGTTCACAAACTACTGGGAAGATCTTTGGAAAATGTGTTGGTTTCAACTTGGTCTTACTAGTACACAAGTGAAGCAATTGGATTTATATTCTGCTTTCATGATGATAAAGAGGAGAAGTTGTTAGGCAATACTAGTAGTACTACTAGTTCTACTACTACTACTACTAGTAGAACAAGAACTTCCAATGATGGTATTTTTTTAGTAGTAAGAAGAACACGCACCTCTTGTTCTCCTCCTCTTGGTGGTGGTGGTGCTTCTTACTAGTACAAAAAAAAACAAGAAGAACAAAAACAAGAATATCAAGCATACGCAACAAAACTATGATTTCCATTCCTATTGCAGAATAAGCAAACAGCCACAGTGTTTTCATTGAATAGATTCTACTACTACTACTAGCTACTATATTCTTTTCAGAGCATAACTTCTACTACTACCACCTTACTGGCACCGACTTCGTAGTTTTTCCACCGTAGAAACTACTACTAGTAGTAGTAGTGGTACATAAAACGAGAACTGGAACTTTCAGCATCATGAAAATAATTTGAACTGTAACTTTGTTTGAAGGCTATTGTAAAATTATTAAAAATCATACCGTCCCCTAATATAAACCTACTTAGAACAACTTCTCCCCTAGTATAAACTTACTTAGAACAACTTTTCCTAATTTCTTGTTTAACAGCCATTTGGCCGGCAGCTCAAATTCACCAAAATAAACAGTAATTTCATTCCTTCAGCACGTGCGCTTGGCCGGCAGCTCAAATTCACCAAAATAAACAGTAATTTCATTCCTNTTCACAAACTACTGGGAAGATCTTTGGAAAATGTGTTGGTTTCAACTTGGTCTAACTAGTCCACAAGTGAAGCAATTGGATTTATATTGTTCGTCTGCTTTCATAAAGAGGAGAAGTTGTTAGGCACCAATACTACTAGTACTACTAGTACTACTACTACTACTACTACTACTAGTACTACTAGTACTACTAGTACTACTAGTACTACTAGTACTACTAGTACTACTACTACTACTACTACTACTACTACTACTAGTAGTAGTAGAACAAGAACTTCCAATGATGGTCTTTTTTTAGTAGTAAGAAGAACATGCACCTCTTGTTCTCCTCCTCTTGGTGGTGGTGGTGGTGCTTCTTCTTACCAAAAAAAGAAACAACAACAAGAACAAGAAGAACAAAAACAAGAATATCAAGCATACGCAACAAAGCTATGATTTCCATTCCTATTGCAGAATGAGCAAACAGCCACAGTGTTTTCATTGAATAGATTCTACTACTACTAGCTACTATATTCTTTTCAGAGCATAACTTCTACTACTACCTTACTGGCACCGACTTCGTAGTTTTTCCACCGTAGAAACTACTACTAGTAGTAGTATTTGCGTTAGCTGAGCCAATTCATTTTCTAGCTTCCCAAGATCGGATGAAGGACAGACATTATCACAAAAAGATGAAAACCATTCATCTCGTTTCTGTTCCAATGGAGTCGCAGTGGTAGATTTTAGTTTTTTCCCTGATTTTTCTTTAGATTTTGATTGCGGAAGCTCGATCGAATCTGTATCATCTCTTCGACACTTCGAGTTCGCACCTCGTCCCGTTTTAGATCASAACCATTCCTTAGTCCACCCCTCCTTTTATTGGAAACCAGTCTCTCCGCTCAAGTGTTACAACTCCGCTAAAGTATAWTTACAAAGAACGATAAAAGAATTACTTATAATGGGAAAGGATAGCAGCGACGATGGCGTGGATTGGGACAAGTCCATCAAATCCATACTGGAGGGATCAGAGTCRGACGATGCGAAAAAAGTGAAAAAGCTCCGAAAAATGGTCCTTCTGTCCCTCCAAATGGACGAGAGCGACAAGACAGCGAAAAAGCAATTCAAAAAGGCAATTCAAGGAATGGAAGARCAGGGAAAGATCAAGCTCGATGCGGATGGTACGATTAGTCTTGTATTGGAGAAAAAGAGCAAGAAGAAGAAGCGAAAGGCATCTTCGTCAAATGACGACGAACGCGAGGAAAAGAAAAAGAAGAAGAAGAAAGACAAGAAGCGACGAAAGACGGGCGAGGATACATCCGACGTCGACGATGACGGTGGAGACGACAACAACCAAGAAGGAAACGACGACGAAGAAACCGCCCCGGTGTCGTTGGCCGACAAGAACAAACCTTGCAAGGGCAATGCCCAAGGTGTGACCCGTCTCTTCATTGGGAACCTACCATTTTCAGTAGATGAATCCTCACTGAATGCGTTTCTACCGGGGGAGGTCACTCACATCAAATGGATCACGGACAAAGAAACCGGAAAGTTTTACGGATCCGCCTTCATTGAAATGGACAATTCGATTTCTGCCTCTGATGCGGTGGCCATGACCGGTTCCAAATTGATTGGACGACCCATAAAAATCAATTTTGCCCCTGCGAGAGAGGGCGACGTTTGGCCGCCACCAAAGAAAGAAATAAGTGGTGGAGGCAGCAGCAACACCACGGGCGGCCAAGCCGGTGGAACCGGTGTGAAGGCGATGAGCGCCAAGCCCGACAACTGCATGAAGTTGTTTATCGGAAATCTATCGTACGACATYGACGACGAGGGAATCATCAAGTTTTTTGGAAATGTTGATGCCGAGGTGAAGGCGGTGCGCTGGCTGCACCACAAAGATTCTGGAGACTTCAAGGGTGTTGGATTTGTTGAATTTTGGAATACAGAGGCTTGTGAGAGGGGAGCCACGCTGAATGGAAAGAATCTTTTGGGACGACCCATTCGAATTGATTGGACCGACTARCAAATAGAAACCGTAATACCAATATGAAAAGCACTACTAGTTTTTGCCATTTTGGTTTTCTTCACAGATGTGCACGTCTTGAGATCAGATGCTGAGGCTTCCAGCATTTTTATCAAGCACGGTGGAGAAAAACTACTGCTGTAGTTTWAAAAAGAGCTGTGGATCAACAATTAGAAGAAGATAATCTCACCACATTTTGCTGGGGACCATCTTGGATCCATTTGATGCTTCTTGTCATCTATTTTGAGTTGCAACATGTCCTGTGAGTGTTTGCGGTGTTATCATATTTCTAGATAGTAGTTTGGAAAACAATTAATAGGGTTAGTGTTACTGTAAGTGTGGTATCCCATAACGTTACACGTACGAACCTGTACGGTAGGTGCCCGTTCCTGTAAATCACACGAACTTCTTTTGAGATTAAATTTCTGACTGAACAGTCTCTCCAAGGTTTCCTCTTAAAAACAAATAGATCGTTGAAAGATACGAGTTTACAAGTACGAGGTATGGTACGGTACACTAACGTAGATGTCGACAGAGAAGGTACGTACCGGTACAATTCTATGCTGCTTACTGATCACTCTTGACTGATGTGTTCTCAGAATCACAGGCTCAAGATGGTTTTCGATTCACAAATCGTTTGTTGCCCTCCTTTTATCATCGACTGACTCTGACAAGTAATCTGTCAACTACACTGCCTACCCCACTTTATTCTATTCACTAGCCCTCCGACGAGTCTGCATTTTTGAAAGTCCAAAAGAGATAATACAACGTGCACACATCGATACACGATACACGACAACAGACACGATGATTGCCTTTGGTGCCGCGCTCAGCCTTTTCTTGTTGCAAAATCAAGCGACGGGATTCGTAGTCCCATCCGCGTCGAGTTCGATAGGGAGAAACCAGTGTTTTGAAGCTGCATCTGCAACATTCACAAGTCACAAAAAATGCGGATCATTTCGCCATGAATCTTTGACCCGTCGGTTTGCTGCGTTGGATGACGACGACGAAGACGACGGATTCGACGAATCAGGGCCTCTGGCGAAGGGCATCGATTCCGTCTCGTGGCTTCCCTCAGTATCCGGTGCAAAGGGAGATAATATGCCAATTACCTCTACCACAGAAGTACGTGACATGTCGTGACAAAAGTAAACCCTGAGTGACACGACAAAGGGCAGGAATGTTAAACATTGCATTTTCATCGCACGCGTTTTCGAATGTATTTCCTTTCTGTGATTTCCAACCATRCAACTCCGCCTTTTTTTGTCAACAGGGTTCAGAAATAATTCCCGTTTTCCCACTCGGTGGCTTTGTCTACACTCCCAACACTGAGCACGTGTTGAACATTTTTGAGCCTCGTTACCGACAAATGTACACTGATATTTTGATGAACGGGACGAAACGGTTCTGCGTTGTGACCTCTCACCCTACCGAGCAAGGGCGTTTYGCCCGAACTGGTGTTTTGTTTGAATTGGAGGATCTAAAAGAAGTAAGTGAACAGACTCAGGATCAGATCAAATACATTTGCAACCACAAAGTGACGGGCCGGGTCACCATCAACAAAATTTTGAATCCAGAGGTTTGGGAGACCCGAGAGTCCTACTTGAAGGCCGAGGGAACCATTATCGACGATTCGGGCAAGGACGACGAGCCAAAAGATGAACCAATGGCAGGCAATCCATACGGTGCCGTAGTAGCAGCTGCAACCACGAAAGACGAGAACGATTTGCGAATCATCTTTTCGAAGGTTGTGGATCTGCAACACGAGTTAGAGGAAGACGTGCGGTTCACGAATGCGGCCAAGTCCACTCTTGCGGTCAGTGACGGAGCAGGCGAGGACGGACTCTGGCAAACAATCAGGTTGTGGCAAAGTTTCATAGAACAACGACTTGTTTCGCGTCAAAACGAGCTGCAGCAAGAATTCCAAGAGAAATTGAAAAAATTTCTACAGAAAGAAAGGGGTCTCAAACAAGATGAACTCCCTAGTGCCATTGGATTTGGTGACTTGTCGCCCGAACTCCAGCTCGAACTACAGGAACTACAAAAACGCATGGCTATTGAGCTCCAACCCTTGGTACTCGAGTCATCGCTTACGATGCAAAAGGTTTTGGAGGCCAAGGACCACTCAGCTCGATGTAAACTTTTGAAATATTTTATGCAGGCCGAGGTAACACGTCTYAAAACMAAAAAGAGTCTTCGGGGGCTGTTTTCTTCCGATAGCGAGTCACTAACAGAAGAAGAGGATGGCATTCCTGCAGATGAATTGATCCCTACGACAGAATCGAAGAAGGAAGACGAGGAGAAAAAGCCAGCTAGTTTTTTCGATGAGCCTGACGCATTCCAGTAATTTATTGTCTTTTGTCTCGCGACTTCCACTGTACATCGCAGACTGGACTTTATGTTATCGAGTAGCAAATATCTTTCTCTATAGTTACAAAACTTCCTATCCTRTTTTGAATTTCGACRTTCTTATCAGCCAAACGGTAACATRSGTGATTTATTTCCCCGTGTTTTTCCTACATTTATTCATAGTTCTTCGTCGAATTTAATATCTTTGGCCCCGATACTTTCGAAATACTTTATCACCTCCGCATTCTCGCCAAATTCCCGAGCGACGCGCAAGGGTGAAAAGCCGTGGTCTGTCAGAAGGTTCATGTCGACGCCTAGCTCTAGKATGAGCTCGATTATTTCAACGTCTCCACTTCGTGCCGCTTCGTGGATGACTGTCCATCCATTTTTATCTTGAGCATGCAACAGATCTGGGTTCGCATTGACYATTGACCTGAATCGGATTGTGTCTCCTTTGATTGCGACCTTTCTGAGTTCTAGTGTGGATGCKGTTTTTGWTTTCTGAAATGAAGAAGTAGGTAAGTTTTTGAAATGAATCATGAAACACRAAAAACAATTGATTGGATAGCTCATAATCTGTACTCCGAATTGTAGAAAAAAATAACTTACACCTGTCCATCCTTCAGGATTTAATTTCCACCATTCTGCTTCCCATGCAGAACCAGGTATAAGATAAGGTGGAATGTCAGTCTCCGGCTCATACGAATACCCCTCTGATTCGATGGGTTCGTACGGCTCGAAATGAATGAAACAGTTGGCAAAATAATTACCAACCATGGGAAAAGGTCTACGAAATTTGAACAGAAAATAATTAGTAGTGATGAGCATGATAGGCTGAAACAATRGAGAAATATGACAATAGAACACAACAGAACAAAACATAACTCACCTTCCATGAATGACAGAGTGACTTTCGTATAATACCATATCACCTGAACAAACAGTGTTCACGTCAAAAAAAGATTATTGATTATCGTGATTTCATTGGATGAATAAATATTGTACCTTCCTCAGTACTYAATCCTAAACGTTCATCAGCTTACCTGGTTCCATGGTCACGTTTGTTGCAATGCCATCATGRCCATATACCTCGAGTGGCCATGGTTCATCTACATCTTGATCGACTTGAACTGCGTTCCACAGGGCCGAAAAACAACCGAAAAATGTTATTTGCTTATTTTCGAGGTATAGTCGCTAAYCATACATCACGTATCATTCGTCGCTGGAGAACTATGAAATAAACTTACTGATTACAGATGTCACCAGTGGCATTCTATCGACGTGAGGCGTCAAAATGGAATTATTGTGGTAGAGCCGAACACCATACGTAGACACCTATTCCGAACCATGAATCAAGGGTCACATTGTACAAAAAATGTGTGAGTCGAATCATCGCACTTGCACTTCCCTTTGACCCTGCAGTTCCAAGAGACTAAGAAGTGGACGAACATTGTWGATTGCTCGGGAAAATGCAAGGTACTAACTTACAGGTGACAAACGCTGACCCGTCCACTCTTCTAAAATTGGTGTCACTTTTTTTTCGATTTCGGTTATCAAACTTATGGATCCACCCATGTGTTCCTGCGCCAAGTGCACAATTGTGGGGGGTGACTCCCATGCATTGTGGTATGTATTGTAGTGCTTCCATTCGACCTCTGCATGATGGCGRTTTTCGTCAAAGAATTCCTTTATCAACTTATAAAGATCCGGCGGAACTCTTGTCTTGGCAAATCCAGTTTTTGTATAGTTATATACTGAGCTTGGTTGAGAGCGGTTCATTCTCGTTCGGTATTCATCRTTTCGAGAGCAATACCCCGCATCCTCTTTCATCGCCTCGTCACAATCTGCCATAAAATCATCGTACAAAGACTGCTTGTCGGCTCCTAATASAGGAGAAAGAAATCTCGAAGTGACTGCCCAAGAAGCGCTATCGAAAGCCGAGTAAACAATGCCGTTGGAAATATCTGAACCGTCGTCCGAAGCAATCGATTCCTCGCAAAGAAATGACATGACTGTTGCCAGCGAGGCAACCACTGCGAATCGCATCTTCATCGTTGTATCTTTTTTTAAAAAACTGAAACTATGATAACTCTTCTCTCTTCAATTTCCGCTTGGCGCTGAAGGGTATTGTTTGACCGTTTCTTAAAATGCCTTGGTTAAAGTGTATTCGAGATGGCACGGTACCGTACAAATTGAACTCTATCGGAGTGACCGTTTCGAGTCTCGGTACGAAAAACTTCAATTTTTTATTTTTATCGTAACGTACCGTTAAGCTGAAACAGATCACATTGAGGTTCAGGTTAAATTAAATTAGGTCTTTCGCGGTTCGCTTCAAGTGGAAGTCGAATTGTCATCATCTAGTAGTGGCATAGAATGTATTTTGTAGAAGAAACTGTTGTCTTTCAAAGAAACAGTGACTATTGGCTCTGTATATTTTCTGGAAGAAACAGTTTATAGAGGCTAAAAACAGCCATTCATTTTGTACTACGGTCTACGTTAAAACAAATTTCATACCCGATTTTTACTAGGTTTTCCTCTACCCCCTCAGACTCCCCTTTCCATCAACAATTTCAGTGGAGAAAAAACTATTCTAGTATTTTTTTCTTCTCAACTTCCATGATTAATATTCTTCTGAGTTTTGGAAGTAACGGAGAGACGCAAGACAATTGGTCTGCTTCGTCGGTGGCAGTGGAAGTCTAAGGTGTCAGCACTGTATTTTCAATTTAGTCACATGCCACCAGCATCTAAGCTGGCATCTCATTCCCGTAACTTTATTGTTTTACAATGTTTCATAGTTAAAACCCTACTGGCTCTACAACTACTAAAAAGATTGCTCTGGGAAGTTTCTTGAAAATCCAACCCCCAGACCCCCCTTCCTCTTCAAGAACAAGTTACGGTCTTCCATGATAACACTATACTGAAGTCACACCTTTGAATGTACTGTACATACCCAGCACTAATACTATTACTGTTAGGGAATCAGCAACGCAACAGTATTTGAGCAAACACTGGAACTGCACTAGGGTTACAATTTTTGCAACGTTGCAACCCTACACTCTAGTAGTACTAGTAGTACACATTGGCGTTACAAGACTGAACCATATGGGACTAAATATGTGGGCAAGACTAAATTTTAAGATGGATTCTTAGACCTTCTACACTACTACTAGTAGTTAATATTACTGCAATTACTGTTGGAATACTAGTAGTTGCATCATGCTACCAGCAACAGCAATGACTCTGTGGCAGCCTCTGCTATTGGTGGTGATACTAGTGACACTAGTAGTATAGAAGAGTATGATACTTTGTTTATGATTATGCAATGACAGGCAGGCACAAAAACAGCAAGCTGCATTAGTGTCTGCCAATCCTCAGAGTATCAAGGAATCATGCAATCTGGAGCTGCTTAGGTATATGTCCCATCCCCAACTTGCACCCTTTGAGAAAGACAAGGAGAGTGGCAGGGCCAGGCACTTCAACTCTCTACAATGGTGGGRAAATAAAAAGAACCAATTTCCAACATTGGCTGTTCTAGCAAGGAAKTATCTTGTTGTTCAAGCAACATCTGCTCCTTCAGAAAAATATTTAGTAGGGCGCAGATGATCATCAGCAATCTACGCACTAAGCTTGATCCTGATATCATTGCAGGGAGGACTCCTTTGTACTATGTAGCTGAAAATTTGGATTGGTATGAGAAACAAGTGGGCACATGGTTGAGTGATTTGTGAATAGCATCATCATAGTGATGGTACTATGGGACTACTATCAAGTAATTATATTAATATTATACATTTTATTACACAATGGCGTTGTGCAACGGTCGGCCGTGTGAAGTTGGCAGCCATCACTGCCTAAGCGTYATGTACGGTGACGGCACGTCGATGGGATTTGGGTGCGTCCCGAAGCTGGATGGCGATCGGAGCGACGATGCCGAGTCTCCTTACACCTGCACCATTCTCCAAGGAATGGACGAACTAGGTGTAGTGGATTGCTCCTACTGCGACACAGATCTGTGCAACATTTGCGATACAGGGATWAGTCCCGTGCCGCTAACCCCGCTTTCCTGTCACGTCGATGCCGACCTGTCCGCATCGCACGCTGTTTGTACCAACTCGGATCCGAGAACGCTTGGTGCAAAGTGCTTCGAGGGGGTTCACCACTGCGTCTCGCTGTTRTATGAAAGCACCAAGACGAGATTGGGCTGTGTTTCGGTAGCGGACAAWGAAAAAAAAACCGTATCGTGCAGATTCATGAAGGTCYTGGACCCCAGCACTACTTATTTTGAATATTGTGGTCTAATTGTGCAGCAMGTGTTCCGATGCCGCTTCTGCTAACTGCCACTCTYTTGACAGTGGGTTCCAACGATGGTCACAATCGCAGCGATTACGTTCTGGTCTTGGTTTCGGATGTAACACTGSCAACCCCGACTGGCTGATGATTCAATGTATCCMACACTGGTGTCAAGGCTTTCTGTAGAAATATGTRCAAACTCGATGCACGGCAAGCGCTATGYTGTGTCTCAACTTGCCGATAACAACTTTTCAATGATACGARTCAACAAACGGCTATCAACGTTTCGGTCAACCATTGTTCAAACAYCATTTACGCGTAGCTTCCAATCGCTGTTGTGTTCTGAATGTTTTCCCATAGTATCAACGCAGAATAGATCGATAGCAAAAGGTACCGCGCAGCCATCTGTTCCCACTGCCAGCGCCTGAGCTGGACCGTGCCCGCTTGGAGGGTGCGCTCGAAATCGATCGGATCGGCTCCGGCCACTCGTGATTCGACCCTCCGGCAAAGAGCGGGGGTCCGGATCCAGCTGGTAAGGGGCAAACCCACCCACAGAGACAGGAGCAGAAGCGAGCACGCAAGCATGGCTCGTTGGTTGTTGCCTCCGGCGGGCGGTCCGCCGAGATCAAGGATGTCGTCGRTGTGGTGGTCAAAGCTCGTTGAAGAATCGAAAGCCGGCAGCACCATTAGCATCCTCGAGATGGAGGAAATACCCAGTGCCAGGGTGCGMTGGGGGCCGTAGAACAACGCCATGGACAAAAGGTTGATGGCGTGGTGCAGCGACGAGGGCATCGACAAAATTCGCAAGCCCTGGTGGAGGACGATGGTGAGCATTAGYCCCATGGATGCAGATGCGATGCAATARCCATAGCAGGACCACTGCTCCACGAGCYCCTGCAGGGTACCTGTGTTGTGGAGCGAGAAAGCGGCAGACGCGATGAACGGCATCGCCCACGACGTCATCGTGGAGTGATCTGCCAGCGATGTTGTTGCTCCGGCAGTTGCTTCCGATGGTCCTATGCTGGCATGGGGTCGGCAATCGCAAACCTGTGCCAGGATCGACGCGATCGTGTCTTTGAGGAAGGAAGCTACCAGCCCGCTCCAAGGATCGGTGGCTCCCAACGCCGCGTCGGTATGGACGGTMGTTGTGCCTACGCCGTTCCATCGATGGGCATTCGAATAGTAGTACTGCCACACGGGCAAGACTCCCCGGGCCATTTGTTGTATCCAGAGGACYTCCCACCACAGCCTGCTAAACCCGCCGCTTGCGAGGTTCCAGTAATAGCATTCGTCGCGCACCGAGCGGAGCTTTTCYCTCCAGTTTGGATCGTACCTCGCAGCCTCCAGGCTCTCCCTGTGCTGCCTCTCGGAAAKCTGCCGGTCGAGACGGCGTTCRTGGGAATCGATCATGGTRGTGGCGTAGGACAGCTCGCGCTGGGACTCGATGACGCTTTGCGATGYCTGCATGCTCACGGCGAGCTGCGCGGCCATCGATGGATCGAGCGAGTGCTCGACGAGGACGTCCCGGACGAGCCGGATGTCCTCAGCCAGCCGACGCGCCATTYGCASCTTTTCGTCTCGTTGTTGCTTGGTCGCAACTATTGTTGTAGCAGTGGTATTCTCACAGGCGTCTGTTTTCTTYGACAATGCTAGCGACAATGACAATGGCGATGRCRRTGGCGATGGTGAGGCAGGCAGCMGGATTYTCTGAGTCYCTGGAGGTTCTTTCCCATTCTGTTTCTSTTTCTTTTTTCCTCCCCRAGGCGAKTTCGACTCCTTCGAGGACAGCAACAMATCGTCGGTGCTTTTCTCCCCGGCCAGGTCAGCCGTTTTTGTTTTGTTCCTTGAAGTATCTTCTTTYTTATCGACATTTCCAGGATCGCCCTTGGCAACGTTCTCTGCACCCGCAGATTTTCCTTTGCCGTGGTTTTCGGTTTTCTTTRGGTTGGATGGCGCGATGATCGTTGMTGTAKGTCGGTTCTGTTTCGTTCTCCGCSTTCGTTTTTTCACCCCGAGCGAGAGAGCGGTGGCAACAAACAGGAGCACAACCATCCATGGATTTCCGATGTTTCGGGCATATTCGGAGAAAATCTTGTTGTTGTTGTCGACAAGAGCAAGACCAAAAAAAGAATTTCGAATCCGTTGGTAGATCCAAGTCCTTTTGTGACCAGAGGATCCGTGTTCGTCATTCTTTTTATTCAGCTTGTCGTGCTTTGGTGGTGTCGGTGGCACGGCAACTACCAGTATCTCGTCGTCCTCGTCCTCGTCCTCGTCCTCGTCTTCTTGGTTATGATTATGAATGCGATTGTTGCTTTGAACCCCATCGTTGTCGCTGCTGCCCTTGTTTCTGCTTGTCGATCCTAGGCTGTGAAGGTTGATGCCGTGCAGTTGTTCCCATTTTTGCCTGGTCGACGAGACCAAAATGATGTCGTCGTCGTCGTCGTCGTCATCGTCGTCACCATAATCAACACCGTCGTCACCACGGTCAATGGCGACTGGTTTCATGGCGAGTGAGATCGTTTTGCCTCTGCTTTGGACCAGAAAGTTTCGCTYGCAGTTCAAATTGCCAACCGCAACACACTAACTCGACACATCAACGGAAGTCAGCACCAAGTCAACGGCATGGACATGTTGAAAAAGAAATTGTGGAGAAGCAACGGCAATCCAAAAACCAACAACTCGTCTTMTCATCGAAACCAAAAAGTCACAACTCGTGACTGTGTTTTATTCGTGATTGATTCTGTTCTGTAGTCGCGCGAAATCCTGCATTGTGCAGTACCGTACGGTACGGTACGGTACCGTACCATACGGTACGACAATATGCTGCGTCCAACAAACCAAACACGAACTGTTCACGAACCACCAACAAGCATCGTCCAATCGAATCCTTCTCGTCGCATCAATCARTCTCTCAATCGAA